AAAATTCGAATTCATTTGAAATTCAAATTCATTTGAAATTCAAATTTCGAATTCTTTCCATTTTTAGAATTCCAAAATAGGAAAGTTAATCATGACATCAATCTAATTCAAAATAGATTGGATTCAATATTAATTTTCCTAAATCATAATCCTTGTTTGGAAAACCTCCTTTGGAAAACCTTGATTGTTCAATGAAATTTGAATTTTGAAATCTTTCCAAATTTAGAACTCTATTTTTGGAAAGTTTTCAAGTCAAATCCACTTTAATCTCTAATTGGGTTAGATTTAAAATTCCTCATTCATACCTTCCATATTTAACTCCACCTATCTTTGGAAGGAGTTTGAATTTTGAAATAGTTCAAATTTAAATCTAAACTCCTTCCTATTTCATTAATTCTAATTTTGGAAAGGCCCTTAATTAAATCAATTAATCCAAATCTGAATTAATTGAGTAATTAATGTCTTATCTCCAAATACATTGAACCTAGACCTTTTTTTTTATCTCTCTCCTGGCCGAAATTCCCAAGACCCCACCTCCTTTATTTCTTTCCAAAAATCATGATTCTCCCTTTGGAATTAAATCCAAATCATCTCCTTCCCTCTCCCCAACTAAATCAATTCCTGAATTAATTCTTGGGAGGAGAGAGCCTTAAGGAAAGCTCGGATCCCTACTCCACCTCCTTCCCTTCAACGGATCAGCCAAATTTTTGTTTTCCCCTTAAGTGAGTTGCTGTCCAGGATTTGAAGCTTGAGGACCTGCTGTCCAGAGCCTTCCACACGTCCAAATGTGCTGCTCCTGTTGTTTGCTTGCTGTCCAGGTCCTGTCCAGTGTTCGAACTGCTGCCTTCCTGAAATTTAGCTTGCTGTCCACTTATTCCAGCAAGAATCTCTTGCTGTCCAGCACTTTGGAAGACCACAAATTGCTGTCCCAGATTTTCTATGTGCTGTCCAAAGGTTCGAGAATGAAATGGGTTGTTATCCAGACGCCAAGGAGACACCACTCGATGTCTACTCCCTCTCAAGCCCTCAAACCACCACAGGAACCTTGGTATCTTCTTTATTTGGGTGGCTGCCATCGATTCCGTTCTACATCAACAATCCTTTGAAAGCACCTGTTCAGAATATAACTAATTATTTAATTTAATTAAATCCTTTACTTAATATAAATACTATTAATTATTGAATTATTTTACTAATAGTAATTACTGTTAATACTACTTTATTATTAAGCTTTTAAAAGAAGTTTTACAATATATTTAATTACTTTAAATTTTTACATACCTGAAAATTTTGGATCTTACACTTTCTAAGATAGAAAAAGGAAGGTTTAAACTCCATTTCATCACTGTATTTCTGGAAAATGATGCTGTAAGTAATATGCTTTTCCAAATTCATCTCTTTAAGAATGCTAAAGCAATATAAATAGAACGAAAAAATAGACCTTTTTTCTTTTTCTACTATGAATTCAACATATTCATATCTACGGGCTTTATCTAGAAAATAATGGTGAGTTTTTCTTCTGCATATTTTCGTTGCTACAGAAACCTCCTTACTTGAGTACTAGGGCTAAGGTGTTACTGATAGGAAATACTTGAGTCCCCAAGTAACCCTAAGGTAATACTTGAGTTCGCAAGCACTCCTAAGCCAAACGGAGGAGCAACCAGCAGGAGTTCTGCTGTTTACAGCAGAAATAAGCACCAAATCAGAGGAAAACAGCTAAAAAACTGAGAGAAAACCACACAAACACTTGTATTTCACTAGTAGATGAATAAAACAGCAAAGATACAATTGATCCTCAATTCGAGAGGAGGATTGATATCACCCAAATCTCTAGACGCCGCTAGAGCCCAAAGAAAACCTAAATCTAAGAGATCTCAAATTTCAGCCAAATTCATGATACTCAAACCCTAGGAAAACAACTATTTAATGCATACAAATCAAAAGGAAATCCCTAAACAGTCCCTACATTCAAATTCCCCTCTTAATCTCCCCAAAAAACCTTCCTATTAGGCTCCCGCAATGCTAATGGCTTGCGCGGCCTCCGCCCAGGCGAGAAATTTTGCGTGTTTAGCGTCTGGGCCGGTCCGGCTGGACCGGTCTAACAATACTCCCCTCCCAAAAATCCACCTTGTCCTCAAGGTGGAGATATGCTCGTGTTTCAGTGGAGGTGGCCATCCTTGAGGTGACTGAAAATCCTTACTGTATTGCTGAACCAAGGGCTGCACGGAAAGAGAAACATCCCCTCCATCCTCCATCCTCCATCCTGATCACATTCAGCTTGTGTAGTCCTACCATATAGTCTTCCCCCACCTCTTGCATATCCCTGACCATGGTCTTAAGTGATGTCATGGCTTTGGATAGCCCCGCATCTCCCCTTATAACCACCTTTCTCCCATCCATCTTTAATTCCATCGTGAGTGCTCCCCAATTGTCCTTGGTTTCCCCAAGGTTTGCAACCACTTCATCCCCAGGATGACATCAGTGCTTCCTAAGTCTAGTGGGAGAAAGTCCTCCCTTACTTGAATCCTCTGGATGGTCAACACCACTCATTTACAGATTCCTTGGCCTTTCTCCACCTTCCTTGTACCCATCATCACCCCATAACAACCGGTGTCCACCAATTTTACTCCCAGTTGGTTGACGATCTGAGTGGAAATGAAATTATGGGTAGCCCCACTATCAATTAGCACCACCACCTCAGGGCCAGCTATCTCTCCTTTCACTTTCATAGTATGACGAAGTGAATCCCACTATAGAGTTCAGAGAGACTTCTGCCACGTCCAGGTGCAACTTCTCCTCCTCCTCTCCAGATCTACTCCCACCTCCCTCCTCGTCTTCCTCGTCTTCACAGACAAGGAGAACCTAAAGAGTTCGGCCCTTGCACCTATGCCCTGGCATGTACTTCTCATCACATCTGAAGCACAACCCCTTTGCCCTCTTATCCTGCATCTCCTTTTCTGTCAGCCTCTTGAAATTTTTCCCACTCCCTCCTGCTGGCTTCTCCCGGGTGGTCTCATTACTGTTGCCTAATATAGGCCCCTTGGGTGCTAGAAGAGTGGTCATCGTCCTGTAAGAGCCTCCTGAGCAGTTTCCTCGAGCCCCTCTTTCTGCTTTCTTCTGATATTCTACCAACTGCGCCAGCTCCATAGCCTTTCCCAGGTTCCTCGGCTCCAGTACCCTGACTGCTGTTCGGATCTTTGGTTTCAGCCCCTTCATGAAGTTCCCTTCTAAGGCTGACTCTGAAATGTGATCCAATCTGCTAGCCAAGTACTCGAACCGATCCCGATAATCTGCCACAGTCCCTTCTTGAGTCAAGGCAAAGGATTGCTTATAGAAGCCTCCTCCCTCGTCGGTTCGGAAATGCTCTAATAAGCAATCCTTGAACTCTCTCCAGCTCCGGATGGGCTCCCTCTTGTCACGCCATTGATACCATGCCAAAGCTTTCCCTTCCAGACACAGGCCTGCTGCGGTCAATTTTTCATCCTCTGTCAACCCGTTGATAGCGAAGTAACGCTCTACTTTGTAGATCCAGCCATGACCGTCTTCACCCTCAAAGCGGGCATCTTCAGCTTCCTCACTTATGGGTCTCCCCAGTTTCCTCGGTATCCTCCATAACCTCCCATTCCTCGAAAATGAGGTGCTCTCCAAGTGTCCCGTTCCTCCCTCCGGAGGTTGTATCCGAATCCGTCGTCATATTCCCCTCTTCCCCTTTCAAAATCAGCACATCGACGCTGAAATTCAGCACCTCGACGCTGAAATTCTTCTCTTCTTCCGCCAAAATCTGCACTTTCGTCATATTCCCCTCTTCTACCTTCAAAATCAGCACCTCGACACTGAAATTCAGCACCTCGACACTGAAATTCCCCTCTTCTTCCGCTAAAATCAGCCCCTCTTCGATCATTTCCCATGCTCATCTCCTCCCTAGAAAGTGCTCTAGAGGTGGCATGTCGTCTTCTCCCTCAAGGATCTCTACATCCTGATTCCTCCTCCCCCTAAGCGGGTTCAGATTTCCTCCTACGCCGTGGTCTCTGGTAGTCTCTCTTGCTTCTGACGCCGTCGGATTAGTCTTCATCTCCAATAATTTTTTCATCATTTCTTTCATGGCCGTGAATTTTCCCTCCAACCTTTCGTTGTTGGTGGTGATTTGATTTTGAAAATCACAAAATCTTTCATCCAAATCGGTTTTCAATTGACCGACTTTGCCTTCCAAGACATCCACCTTTTCGGCCATCGTTCTTCTAACTGATCCAAAAAATTCTTCTTCCGGAAACGAATAACTTGCTGAAATTTCAGAATTTCAGCCGCCGGTGGTCCCAAATCGACGCTCTGATACCAATTTGATAGGAAATACTTGAGTCCGCAAGTAACCCTAAGGTAATACTTGAGTTCGCAAGCACTCCTAAGCCAAACGGAGGAGCAACCAGCAGGAGTTCTGCTGTTTACAGCAGAAATCAGCACCAAATCAGAGGAAAACGGCTAGAAAACTGAGAGAAAACCACACAAACACTTGTATTTCACTAGTAGATGAATAAAACAACAAAGATACAATTGATCCTTAATTCGAGATGAGGATCGATCTCTCCTAAATCTCTAGACGCCGCTAGAGCTCAAAGAAAACCTAAATCTAAGAGATCTCAAATTTCAGCCAAATTCAAGATACTCAAACCCTAGGAAAAACAACTATTTAATGCATGCAAATCAAAAGGAAATCCCTAAACAGTTCCTACATTCAAATCCCCCTCTTAATCTCCCCAAAAAACCTTCCTATTTGGCTCCCGCAATGCTAACGGCTCGCGTGGCCTCCGCCCAGGCGAGGAATTTCGCGTGTTTAGCGTCTGGTCCGGTCCCGCGTGGACCGGCTGGACCGGTCTAACAGTTACTTACTAATAGGACAAAAAATATGAACATGTATCACAACCGATTGATCGTCAAAAAACAAGAAATTATTATTTTCTACAATACTCTAGATGTTTGTTGAGCGTCGTTCTTGCTTAATGGAGCTTAGCTGAGATTCAGGTTTCTTAGGGGCATAGATAAACTTGCAATCTCTTTTTGAGCAACTGAGATCTGACCCTGACCCAACCGACAAGTGGCTCTTCTTCTAAAACACTGCCGTTCAAGAGTGCCTTTTCGTTATAGAGGATTGACTTTGTAGTTTTGGGTATTTTTAGTTGATTTTTTATGTTGAATTTGATTGTGATACTAAATTGATGGTAATGCACAACATCCTGTTCTTATATGTATTTTAGTTAAATATATGATGCTTGGCCATTAAGTTTAAACTTACATTTGAAATTGCGTGGAGTCGTACATTATGACAGTAATAAGATTCGATGGTTTCTTTATTACAGGTACCTGCCATTGGTTGTCAGTGGTTCTCTTGTTCAGTGGATGCCTACACTTACTCGAAACAAATAGCATCGTCAAGATCCTTCTGCATTTACGAAGAGGTTTTCTAATCTAATGCTCCTGCTTGTTGTTTTGTTTACTATATCCATCTCATATTAAATGATTTATTTGCATCTCTCTCTCTCTCTCTCTCTCTCTCTCTCTCTCTATATATATATATATATATATACACACACCTTGTATTGCCACATGACACATGATAAGGACAAACAGACTCCCATTATGATAGCCACATGATATGTGATAATCCTTCTATACCCTCATGGCCCTTAGAATTATCTTTAAAATTTAATTATTTGAATTGAAATCTCTTTTGTCAATCATGGACTACTTTATTTCCTCACATAGTGGGATAAATGTTTGATGTTGTTGTTGTATCAACTACTTTATTTAATAACCAGGACTTGTCAAATTCATTTAATTGCTATTCTAAAATCCTTTAATCATCACTGTCACTACTATTCATGATCACCTACTCACTTATAACCTCACTATCTCCACTTGCATGCCAATCACTAGAACTAACACTTTTATGTTATCATCCTCTTGTCTTGCCTACACCATATCAATCTTTCTTTGATGCCGTCTCCTCTTTTATCTGCCACTTCCAATTTTAGTTGCCAAATCCACATTCCAGAATTGCTTTGAGCAGGTCTTCGACTCATTTTACTTTTAATTTTCTTTGTTTCACTATAGCATATGGAAACTCTCTAGATGGGGTCCTCCTGGCCTCGATCATTAGTGTCCTTTGGTACCTCTTTTTCATTAGCCCCTTGGTTATTTTATTCTCTGGCTTCAGCATTATACCTTCCAGGTGCGAAATGTTTGTTTGGCAAGGCAATGGTGTTGGCAAGGCAATGGTGTTGGCAACACCATAGAAACTTTCTGGCCGGCTATAACCCTCTTCAAAGCCGGGGTCCTTGACTGGGATAGCCTTTCAAAAATTGAGGTCCTTTTATGGGGACCCTTATTAACAGCAACAACTTTAGTTTGTTGTGGCTGCCGTGCTTGAGGATGCTCACAACTAGCATCGACTTCAGTAACATGAGGCCTCCTAGCAGCATGACATGCCTTTGATATCTATGCTGGATATAGGGACGACAACAACCTTTGCAGTACCTGCAAAGAATTGTAAACTATCAAATTGGATGGTGGCACCAGAGTTTTTGGTGTTGATGACAATGTTTGTCAGTTGAATGCTAGCACCATATCCTAGCTTGATGGTGAAAGAGTGTTCTGGAGGTCCAACATAGAATGAAAGATTGGGTTAGTGATTCGAATTTGATATATTACCCCATACTTTCAAAGTGTAGGGACTCGACAAAACAATATGATATAAATAGATGAATTATATAATTTCAAAATACTGTTTAGAAAATCTTAATGAGTCAAATTAAAAAATATCATTTTATGAACGATATTCAAATATTCACTCATTAGATTTTGCTGCTACTATAACTTAAATATATAACTAGCAAAAAATGGAAAGAGAAACCATCCCAGGGAAGTCGCTAGAAATTTGTGGGCTCAAAAAATTCGCCCCTCAGCCTCTCTGCGACCTTTTTTTTGAACGGCGAGGAGAGTTTTAACGAGTTTAGGTTCAGGGTAATTTTTTAGAAGTCATATTGAATTTTTATTAGATAAGACACCGCGTAGACATTTCACCCTTATTTTGCGAGGGCATTATGATTTGAGTTTTGGTTTCCTATAGGTGCATCCCCTATAGTTATTTACCCCTCCTAATAATGAGAGAGAACTTTCGATTAAGGCTAGTCGTCGAACATATATGTAGTATGCATCATATAAAAGTAGCAGAATTAGACATTGAAAATTGAAAATTTATTACGGTACACTTAAATCGGATGGTGGGTGGAATGATAATGAATTCGATCAAGATTCCATGGCGCGGAATTTTAATTTTTGATAATTGACAACCCTAACCAATATATGTTTCTATCTTAGCTGTTTTCGTTGTTATAGATGTGCTGATGCTATCTGTTTCACGAACGAAGGCCATTTTGACGATTTAGGTTTTTGGCTGACACATGTCGGGTGAGTTTCGCACGACACTGCACTCTTTTGCTTTCGAAACTTGCCGTGCAAGGTCAACTCGATCCCGACACTAGTATTGAGGTCAACAGTTTATTTGCTTGGGCCATCTCCACTAGGTACAAAGCTTTGATACCACTTGGCGTAAAAAGCCTTATAGTATTGGTTCTAAGGGAGCAATACTAACTTTTGTATTCATTCACTAAAGAAAAAAAGGAACCTACAGGTCTCCTAAGATCCATTAATTATGTCACTTTGGTACTTCAATTTTGAAAGAATTGTCTATGGTAAAGGAGATCTCTCTGGGCCATCCATTGGAGTATTTTGGATTATATTTATATTTACAGAGAACATCACTCTTAAAAGCTATAAACAATTCCCCAATTCTCTACATGAGAGAGAGAGAGAGAGTGCTAAGAGATTTATGGCTATTGATCTAAATTCATCAAAATTGATAAAAGTAGAATGAAAGAAGTCACCAAAATCAAAATAATCAAAACTTATTTTTATGCAAGGAGAAAACCTTCCCCCACAATCTTTACGTCTCACTTCATCAATAGGAGTTATTTTTAGGAAGTAGAAGAAATAGTACATGCAAATAAACTTTTATTCAAAACCATTAATTGCATTTTCTAAGAGCCTAAGACCCCCATTGATAAATTCAAAAACCTCTTTTGAATCCCTATTCATTTATCAAAACAACCTATTAAAATTGGATTAATCAGTCACTTGAAAACCCGAATACCATGATTACCCTCGAAAGTCACCAAAAGCCCCCACTAATTTTTGCAAATTATGGATAATTGTTAAATTAAGATTTTATGACTTGTGAAGTTTGCGAGCATGATTTTGTTCATTTCATAATAATTTTTTTGTTAAAATTAGACCCTGAAACACTCCATGCCAGTAGTATTTTCCACTTTGTTATGGGCCAGTGTGGGGAATCATACGCATCATGCTAATGATTATTGGAGAGATAGGTGGTTTGAATAATTTAGAAAAGAAGATAAACTTACTTTGTTTTGGTATCATGCTTAAACCCCTTCCACTTAATGTTGATATCAAAGCAAGTTGAAAGTTCACAAATACTCTACTAGCTGAACTTAATCTAAGATATATAATTAAGTTTGTTTGAATGAATCATGCTGGTCACCGCATAACTTTGGATTGGGTTCACATATGTTATTTGTACAAGTTGTTGAATGAAGTCTAACAAAAAAAAGCATGTTGAAAGATGATCTAATGCCTTCATTAATGTTAGTATTGAATGCTGGACAAACTCTGTCATTGATCGTTATATATGCAATGAAACTTTCAAATATTTGTCATGGTTCTTTATACGGTCTTGCTTTTTTTTTTTTTTTAAAAGTTTTAGTGGAATCTTGGCCTTTCTCAAGAAAGGTTACGTTGGTAAGTTATGTTGGGCCCGTTATATTAGATTTATTATTGTGGTTTTGTTGTTCTATAATTAAATATTAACTAATTTTACAGCGCTCTTTTTGGGTTTATTGGGTTATATAGTGTAATACTCAAGTTTGTTTAATTTATCCTTTTGTTTTTGTAGATTGAAAACATGCGTAATGCTGGTCTTATCCAAGGAGGGTCAATTGAAAATGCCATAGTATGCAGGTTTTTTCTGTCTCTGGCTTGAAGCTAATTCTTTGATTGACTGATCTTCATTCAGTGTTAAGAGAGTCAGTTAAAGATCAAAGATCTGATCATACCACTTCATAATATTTTAGTGCATTGCCATCATCATCCCGGAGGTGTTTTTTTCTTCGTCTTGTTGTGAATGCCTCTTTGAAAAACTTTTGAAAAATAGTTTAAATTTGTTAATCGCACTATCGACATCAATTTGAACTGTATGTTTGTTAATGTACTCGTATATTTGTTAAAAAACACTTATAATTGATCAAAGTCGATGGCCCTTCTAAGTCCTTATTGGGCATAGGAAATATGCACTCTATGGCACCTAGCAACAAATGAATTTGAAGTGCTATTGTTCTAACGAAAACTATTTAGGTTTTATCATCATTTCTTGATATCAAATTGTGCATTGTTTTGGATGGTTTGCTTGAGCTTTATTTATTTATTCTTTTTGTATGAGATGGTCGATGATGTGTTGTCCACATGCTTCCCTAGATTGTCCACATACTTTCAGATTTATTTTTATAACACAAATAATATTTATTTTTAACAATTCGAGATCACCCTGGCCCGTTAAGCTTGGCCGGTAGACTTGGAAAATATTTGAATTCCCTTGATATGATATTGCATGGACTGAAGCCCAGCCCAATCTTCCCAGCTGCCCTCCTCTTGTTTGAAGTCATTGTTCTATAATTTGGTAAACAAGGTCAAGATAGGAGCGGTTTGAATGGACGGCCGATATTGGTCCCTTTGATCGTAGTCTGTTTATTGATCATTTGAATACCTTAATGATATCAAAATTCGGCGATCTTGAGCTTGTTGGATTCGTCTCGTCGAGCCGCTCGATTCGATTATAAGCATGTCATGTTTGGAATTCGTTTGGTAGTCCAAATTATGCTTTGAACCCTCCCAATATGCTTTGGACCCTTGATTTGGGCTCATTTGAGCTTGAATTCCACTAATTTTGGTGTCGTTGGGTTCATCTTTTCGAGACTTTCAGTTTGATTATAAGTTTGTTGAAATCGGAGTTTGGATAGTCTCAGATTTTATTTTGGAAGCTTTCAACTTAATTTTGCCTCGAGATTTCTGCCTTATCAAGATAAATTTTTTATGATATATTAATGATACAAAAATTAGATTAAATATTAGATATTTTTTTCTTAAAAAGGGCTAAGTGCTAAAATAATTAATAAGAATAAACATGATAATAGTTTTTAAATTAAAAAAAATTATCTAAATGTCACCCTCATATTAAGTAAAATAGATAGATTTAGCTTCTGGTTTAAATTAAACAAATACTTTTATTAAAAAAAAAATTTTAAAGTAGCACATTTTAAAATGTAGCCCTTTTATTAAGTTAAAATTTTGAATTTTTTTAATATTTTGTACATATATTAAATATTCATCATCATTATGTTGCATTTTTAAATATTTTTGGTGGCTTGAGCATTTTAATATTCTGGGAGATAAATCCTCTTTTTATTGACGTCATATTTAGGGATGTCAAAATAGATCAACGGGTCAAGTATGTGTCTAAGCTGAAATTGATCAGAAATAAATCTATTCAAATTGAACCCGACCTATTTAATAAATGGGTCAAAAATAGAAACGAACCCAACCCGCTAGTAATCCGAATATAATATGAGAACCTATGTTAATTAAAAAATATATTTTTATTACCTTATTAATCATAAAATTTAGGTTAATTGATAAATAATAAGAAGATTATATAAATAAAGAAATTAAGGAAAAAAATAAATGATTCAAGTTCGAGTGAAACTCGGGTTAGCGGGTCAACCCGAACCCAACCCATTTAATAAAAGGATTGAAATGCACGATTTGAACATAACCAGTTTATTAAATCGATCAACCTGAATCTGAATTTTTCCAATCAGATTGACAAGTCGAGTCATTTTTTAACACCCCTTGCCGTATCTAACATATAACTGCCACACAATTTTCATGGAACTTTTTTTACTTTTCTGAATTTGACCTAATTAACTTCTATATTATTTATTTATTATTAATTTATTCCATCTTGTTTAATTTCTAGTGAACTATTTGATTTTCGTGCGGTCGTAGATATGGGGTGATATGACCGGCCACATAAATTTATGTGTGTATTTGTTTCTGTATATTTGTTGAGATTGATTTCATCTTTGTGTTTTAGCTTATAGCTATTTTTCTTTAATGTCCATTAAACTGATTATGGATGGAAGTTTATGATGTCTCGATTGAAATAACTACACTGATGATTAAGGTTGGTTAAGTTGAAATTCCAAACTCATTCACGTCTTCTTTTGCAGTGTCCTTTCAGGCTGGCTAAATGGACCGCTGCGTTTCTGTAATGAACCTTGCCGCCATAAGATATTGGATCTTATAGGGGATTTTTCTCTTTTTGCTCAGAATGGTCACCAAGGGTTTCCATTTTCACATCTAATTGCTTACAAGGTTTGCTAGATTTCACACGATGATATATCCAGGTTTAGTTATCATATAATTGCTGCTCTTTTATTTTTATTTTTTCGTTCATGTGGATATCTTCATAATTCAATTCTTATTGAAACATGTTATTAAGTGCTCGTTTTATTTCTTGCCAGAACAAAATATTCTTAGAAATTAATGATTTTATTTTCACTCATTTTTGATGTGAATGTTTCATCACTTTCGAGGGAATTTTTAGCAGGTTTGTGGAGTAAAAAATCAATATTGATATTTAATTACATCCAATTAATGATGGGATTTAACAAACTTCATCATTTTTCAAACTATGATTTGTAACTTTAGGCAATTAAGCAACCAAATTAGCCTTAAATGAACTTCTATATTTCCTCATGACAGACGAGTTGGATCGCTTTTAATTACCAAACCGTTTTTTTTTTGTTTATTGCCCAAGTTCTTATTCCTGGCATTTGGTTTTGTAGAGAATGAATTAAGAGATTTATGAAAGGATTGCCAACCTTTATCTAAAGGCTATATGTACTTGGGAAAATTAGAACGTTGGAAGTTAAATAGTGCAGGTAGCAGAACAAACATTTAGTTAGGGACCATTTGGTTTCTTGTTGAAGACTTGAATGTAGAATTTTTTTTTAAACTTGGCTTCATTTTGGTAAAATTTTTTTTCTCCTACTTAATTTCTAGACCAATTTTGGATTATGATAAGCTTTGAAATCATCAATTTTATTTTGAGACGAGTATAATATAAATTTTAATTGATCCTTTATGTATTGTATTCATTTTAAAATAGATTTAATGAATTTGAAACTCATCGTAACTAATATTTAGTCAGAATATCTTGACCCAAATATTCCATTTATTTTCATTATTTTGTTTTATGACAGTGACTACTCACTTAACTTTGCGTTATGCATTCATGTTCTTGTTCATTTCTTTAACAAAATTCAACGACTAATTTGTACTGAAATTGTATAAATTCCTATAGGCTGGTCATTCTCTGCATGTTGATTTTGTGCGTCGGCTAGCAAATATCTTGTTAAAGTAGTCCTTCTGATGTTGATGCTATTTATCCTGACGACGCACCCAATTTTGAAGTCATTATAGAATACAACCAGCGTATCAGGTAAGTGTATTAATTTACTATGACATGATAATATTAGTTAGCTACATAAAGTTTTTGAGATCCATTCATACTCTGGCTCCGTTTGGGACGGCTTTCTTACTGTTTTTAAAAATAACTTTTTAGTACAAAAATTAAAATTTTTGTATTAAAAAGTTGTTTAAGAAGTAGTAAGAATGCATGCTTGCTTAATTCTTGGAAAAAAAAATCCTCCATAAAAACAGTTATATGAAGATATAAAATTAGTGTTCTGCTGATTTTAGTAAATTAAATATTTTATTCTGATAGGGCCTTTTTTCTTGTTGCAGATGTATTGCCTATTTGTGGTCAGTATGTTTTGATTTTTTTATACTTTGTGAGATGAAATTGCAAGCAACCAAGAGCATTCCAGAATATTCTAGAGAAATTCCATTGATTTTGGTTGACCTCTTCATATAGATTATAGGATCTTGATTTGAAATTTATAGTGATTTTGTTTTTTCCTTGCTTGAATTGTTGTAATCGAAGGATCAAATGGTCATTAATTTGATTGGAATGTTAGAAGAAGCTAACGAATGACTGAAGGGATATCTTTTTGGTAGTAATCGTAGTAGTTTTTTTTTTTTTTTTTGAGTAAATGTTTTATGATCCTTATTCGTTGCGCTGGTGTAAGTTACAAAGCTCAATTAAATAGTTCCATAACAGTGAATTGCAAATGCTTGAACATTAAACAGCTTCTGAAACATTTGAATTAATAAGATTTAGGGTTTGTTTGTGGCAATTTTCTTAATGCTTTCTAAAACAATGTTTCAGTTTAAATTTTTCATGAATTATAATTTTTTATACTAAAAAGTTGTTTTAAAAATCAATGAAAAAGCTGTCTCAAATGAAGTCTTAGGTTTTGTTTCGGACAATTTTTTTATTACTTTTTAAAGCAGCTTTCTAGTACAAAACTTTTAATTTTTGTATTAGAAAGTTGATTTAAGAAGTAGTAAAAAAATCGTCCCAAACAAAACCTTACGGTTTGTTTGGAGCAGTTTTCTTATTGTTTTAACTTTCACAAAATTGTTATTACATATCCGTTTGATTATGGTTTTGAAATAAGATAGTAAGCTTTTATAATAAAGTTTTCTCACGACAGGTTAGAATCAAATTTACAAATAATTTTAGTTAGCCCAAACGGATCTTTAATGTTCATTCTCTTTGAATTGTGCTTAGGATTGTGATGTTGTGCGAAATGGGGATTTGGAGAGGGTAGTGTTAGTCTCTTTTTGTATCAGTTTGTTCTTGAGTAATCATGGTGTTGGTCATGCTTATTTTTATAAAGTTCTTAATTTTTTTTTTTTGATTTATACATAATAATTCTTATAAAAATATAATTTACACATTCAATATAATGTAAAAGAACATAAAAGATTATTATGTTTTACATAAATAATTTGCCATTGAAAAATTTATAGTACCTTACCAGGTCATAAAGTGTTTATCAAAGGTTTGTTTAATAAGAACAATTTTTAAGCAAGTTGGAGAAGGCTTATGTATTGAATAAAGGTTAAAGTTTTGTTTGGAATAGTTTTAAGGCTTAAGAAAATCGTCTCAAATGAAATCTAAGATTTGGAAAAAGTCTTGTCTCTGCTGAACAAAATGAGGTGCTCTTGTGAATGTTGATGAAGAGTTAAATTATACCTTCATAGAAAGAAGGAGATGGGCTTTGATTGCTAATATGGGTAGGTGTTGATCATTATGGGACATTTAGACTCAGGTGAATAATTCTCGATGATAGTAAAGTAAATAGACGGTTTTGGACAAAACATTATAGAGAGTGTTGTAGGTTGGCATGCTTACATGGAGGGCATCTTATGTTAGGCAAGGATGGATATGAGAGGTATTGAGGAAGTTAGATAATGCTCATTTTGTACCAGAGAAACTCATGTATGAACAAGGATTGATTATAAGAGACCGGTTGTTACCCATGCTAAACATTGCATGTTGGATCTCGAGCATAAGATGATGTGGTTAATATGTCGAGCAACAAATAACATACAACATACAATGGATATTGGGAGTCAGAGACAATGTCGTTAAACATTGAAGAATGATAACTCCTTAAAAAGGTTAGAAATTTGAATGGGTTATATGAGACAATCACTATGAGTTGTTAAGATGGGAAACATCAAAGAGCACCCAAGAGGATGTTAAAATCTTTAGAAACAATCAAAGCTCTATAGTTTATAGTCAATAACGTTTATAATGCAAAAACAATGAGTAAGATCATGAGATTATATATAGATTTTGAGGGGATGTAATCCCAATCATTTTCCAAAATGATATCAAAATATTTTTCATTTTGTATCCACAATGAACATACACGCTCACACCCTCATTTAGAAGAGAATAAAACTGTCAGCAATGTACGTATATCCGACACATCAATAATAATAATAATAATAATAATAAAAGTAAATAATATAAAATAATATTGAAATTGAGCTAAACTTATTAATTCTTACAAGATAAGCAAAAATTATATAAATTCAGCATAAAATAAAATAACAATTAGATCAGAATATTCTTATCAATATTTGCTTATCAAAACAGCCCATGAAAAAAACAAAAAAACAGACATTCCAACATTTGCGAGAAAAAACCACAAAACTGTAACTAATAAACAAAGAACTTTAATTATTTATTGAAGGTCCATACAAAGATCCGTCCACTCACGAATCAAAGCCTCTTCCGCCGACGGAAACCGATCCGTTCACTCATCTCAAATCGGACGAGTTATCCGCCGAGTCATGGAAAGGAAAACCGCTACTGAGTTAACCAGGGCCAACATGATCGTCGCCTTCACTTGCCCTCTCCTCGGGATCGGACGGCTCACAGCCTCGCTAGTTCTCCGGCATCCGACCAACGCCGCCATTCTCTTCTCCGACTTCTCTCTCTCTCTCTAGTTCTCTTTCGTATGTTGACTTGCTTTACTAAGAAGCGCATTTTATAGAAAGGTACATTACACGATGCCACTTTAGATGTGCATTATTACGATCCTGCCATAGTAATGAATGCTTATATATGGCATAGAAGTAATTTTAACAAGTTTTATGGGCATCTTTTGAGGGAGAGTGAGTGAACCTGAAATGAACTGTTGACAACTATTTTAATGCTGATATGTAACGAAGTTATTAATTAATGTAATTAATGCATGGCTTAAAACCTTAATTTACTGATTAATGAACTAGAAATTAAATAAGTTGGAATAAATTAATAATAATAAATAATATAGAAGTTAATTAGGTCAAATTCAGAAAAGTAAAAAGTTCCAATAGTGTGTAGCAGTTACATGTTAGATATGGCTAGGGGTGTTAAGTATGACTTGACTTGTCATTCTCAGCGCAAATTATGGGTTGACCCATTTAATAAGCAGGTTAAATTTAGATCGTGCATTTCAATTCTTTTTATTAAATGGGTTGGATTTTGGTTGACCTGCTAACCCGAGTTTCACTCGAAATTGAATCATTTAATTAATTTTTCCTTAATTTTTAATTTATGTAATATTCTTTTTATTTATCAATTAACATATATTTTATGATTAATAAGGTAATAAAAATATATTTTATTAATACTAATAATAATAATAATAAGTCTAAAATCAAAAAGTATTAATTTAGCTAAAAAAGCATCTTGAATCGATAAATATTAAGAATTAGTTATGCAACCTACAGGGCTTTTTAATCTGTCCCCTTTGAATTTTATTTCTTGCCCCTAGCTGACCTTTTTTTTTTCACGTAATTTGCTCTAAAAATCGGAAAGCCACTAATTTTATCCGATTATGTTAAACTTTTATAACACTAACAAATAAGTCTGTGAAAAAAGATTATATGCAAAATAAATTATTTTAAGTTTGTATATTTTTATTTTCTTATAAATTTGTCACTTGCCCTCCTTGAGAACTAAGACTGATTTCGCCCTTGGCAACCTATTGCGACTATGTATTGCCCTTCATATCTCAGGAGATCTTGGGCTCCTGTAATTAATTACTAGATATTCATTTAATTATCATCATAATAAGTGAATAAATATATTAAATAGTAGAGAAATTTACATACATACCATTTAATTTCATGCTATTTACACATCTAACATTCAAAACTTTAATATTACATGTCTATCACCCATATATAACTTTAATATCTAATATACGCTCCTATAATTCATTTCTATCATTCATACCATCCTATAAATTTTAATATTTTATTCCATGAACCCAAATTTGTTCTATGGGTGATATCATGTAATATTAATGTTTTAAGTATTAGATATATAAATAGCATGAAATAAAGTGGTATGTATGTAAAACCCCCTAAATTATAATCATTTAACCCTAAATTTGAATGAATACAACAAAAATATTATCAAGCCTTTATCTCATTATATGGGGTCAACTACATAAATCTCTTTTCTCTTATTAGGAGCCAAAATTCACATTTAAATCTAATAAAGAAAGACAATTTCTAATATTTTCTAACCAAATCTTTATAATCATTCAATCCAATTGGAATGAATGAGATAATTTTTTTAATCAAATTTTAATTTTTTTTAAAGGAATGAATCTCATCCATTCAAAATGAATCCCAATTACTATGAAAAAATACATATATGAGCTAAAATTCTGACTTCCAATAACATTTAGATCAAAATTCATGGGCACATATTTATTATTATTATTATTATTTAATTAAAAAATATAACCCATTCTAATCAAATGAGAATTCAATTGAAGGTAGCTATATTTTATGAAAAAAAATAAAAAAAAAATCTTATATAGTAATTTTAAACTAATATTCGCATAAAGTAATCCCACCTTAAGTGGACGTCACTGACTATCATTAGGAAGCGGACAACATCAAATATTAAAAATAAAACAAAATAATTACAGTAATTGAGCAACATTTTTTTTAATATAAGCTTTATTTTTTCATTTAGCTTTTAAAATGTTTTTTTACCTATTAAAAAATTGTTGAAAAAACTAATTTATATAGGGGTATCAACGAATGATCTTTACTCACAACTCGACTCATATTTGACCTAGAAATTTTGGTGTGGAATTTCGACTGATTCAATTTATTAATTGGGTTTGAGTTGAACTGCAAAATTGATTTTCGAGTCAGATATGAGCTCGTCAAATAAACTAGTTTTAAAACTCCTACATTTATAGAATAATTTATATTTTTAATAAAAGTATAATAATTTCATTTTAAAGAAAATTGTAGTCAAAACTATATTATATTATTTGATCAATGCATGTTTTTTTAGTTTATAAGGAAATAAATATTCTTTTATTTTTATGTAAAATCAAGGTAATTTTATTTTTAATAAGAACATAAATATAATATAGATAGTTATAATTATACGCAAATAAAATATAATAAAAAAAGGAAAATGTAGTAGTATGAAAAGGACGAACGAATGAAGCACGAGACGAGGGAATAAGTTGCATTTTGCCAGTCCAAGACGCTAATGGCGACAGCCACGCTTGCTACCTGTGCCATCATTTCCACGGTCGGGCGCGGAAATTTCTACTTAATGAAAGCGCTTGCGCCCAAAGATCGAGCCTTTATAGGAGGTTCTGCTTCCTCTTCTTCTCCTGCTTCTGCTCCTCTCAATCTGGGCTTCTCCGACTGCAATCCGTCGCCGATTTCTCCGCTAACGTTCTTCCCTGCATCGCCGATGGCTTCGCCTTTTGGATTTCAACGTTCTGATCTAATGGAAGCAGGGAGTTACGCGGAGGAGTTAAGTGTGGCGGTGAGGGTGGTCCAGATGGCATGCTCGCTGTGCCAGGGTGTTCAGGAGGGGCTCTTTGGGAGGAGGAGAGAGCAGGTCAAGTCCAAGGATGACGCTTCTCTGGTTACTGTTGCAGGTTTGGATCATGCCTGTGTTTTTTTTGTTTGTTTTACTTGGTGTACGGATTCCATTGAGGAAATGGGGTTTTGCTTTAAAATTTAAGGCCGCAGGAGGATTAGATTCTTGTTACTTGTTGCCTGCACTTGGAAGCTAGAAGAGTGTTGGTGTTTTCGTTTGGTGATGTTGTTTATATTCTTTAGAATTTGGTGGATGTAATACCTATTACGGTCTTTTGGTTGTGTGTTAGGTGAATAATTGTGGAATGAGTGGTGATGGATGCTATACATTTTGGTGGTTGTGGAGATGCAAATTAGGATTTTGCATTTTTAATTATTAGATTCTTGAGTTTTTAGGGGCAATGTCCTTGTTTTGATGGTGGGTTTGATCTGTGAGTGCCATTACTTTAGTGATTTGCTTTAAAGATTGGATTCTGCTATAAATTGAATAGCTTTTCATTCTTTGAGAGACTTGAGAACTGGAATGTTAATGCTGGAGCATTCTATTGTTGAGGGTTTCTTTTTTTGACATTCGGTGGTTGGAGGACTTGTTGGTTTTTTCTGTGATTGTTATGCATGTGTGGAGCGAATGATGATAAATGGAGGGCACTACAATTGGTAAATTCATCTTTATTTGGGTTTAGTTGCAGGCTTTTTTCTGCTCTAAATTTCCTTGAGCTGTTATCTTCTTTGCTGGAACAAGAAATTTGGTCTAGATGTCAACTTAAGGGGTTTTGTTATAGTGTTAAGGAGAGTTAAACACTTAAATGTACGTGCAAGTTTTACATATTTGATGAATAATATAGAAAAAAGAAAGGTAAAAACTAAGGAACTCTATTTCAAGTTGTTTGTTCTTTGGTTCTTAGGGTAGAGGTTACAAGTTTGATATGGCTTCTGACCATCTTTAAAATTAAAATATTCACTTTATCAATGTATGGAATCAATCAATAATTGATATTTTACCCTCTTTATATGAAATTGGCCTTGTGCTCTTTTTATTTTTAATCGATCTCAAGCCTACTTATATGTGACTGGCCCTATCCACAAACTTTAAATAAATGAAATATTTGGGATATATTTTCATAAATACTCCTTTTCCTATCATTTATTGGGTGCTAGAATGTAGGTGGCTTTTTTGGGGGAGGAAAATCCCCAATAAAATTGCCAAAAAACAAAATCGAATTCCCTAGTTTCTCTATGCAGAGTTTTATAAAAAATGTTATAAAGATAAGGTACCAACTTTTGTTCTATCTGCATGGGTCCATTCCTTGTCAAATCATCATTGAAATATTCAAAATGAAGTGTTTTATGGAATAAATGTGTTGTATTAATAGTATGTATATCAGTATATCACATCCTTGTTCATATTTGTCTCTATTTTACATTCAATGCTAAAACTGGCATATGAAAGAGGTGCGCACTTGTTATTGTGTAAAAACTTGTTTAATGTTCTGATCTTAGAAGGAATTTAAGGGTCACTGATTATATTATATGGATATATATTTTTTTAGAATTTGAAATGAAAAAAATATATATTTTAATTAAAATTAAAATTATTAAACTTATTTCATTTAAAATTCATTATTGGCATCCTCAATGAGATATAATGGAGCATTTTTTATAAACATGGGAATATAGTAAAATATATCTATTTTGTTTATAAATGTTAAAATTCATGTATTTGCTCATAGCCTCATATTATTTAAAATATGAAGTATTTTTTTAAATAATTCTTATGCATGTATATTAGAAGGGTATATCAAGGAAATTTTCTAGGGTTCTGATGATATGTTTACTATCAATTGATATCTAATGTGATGAATCCCAGCAATGAACAATGATTTCAATAGTTCTTGTTTATGGTATGCTCATAAAAATTTAATTCTGCATTATAGCTTGTTTATATTAGTGGTTCAACAAGATTTGCTCTTTGTTTTCCATGAAAGAAACTGCTTTAAGAACCATTGTAGATCAATAAGAAAAGCATTGGTAATGCAATATGCTATAGATTGGTAGCTGTGTGCAACTCTAAAGAAGCACCAAAATTAAGTCTAAAGAAGCACCAAAAAATCCAACACAATGTAGATAGCAACTTCCAGGGTGAATCACATCATAGCGACTGTATTAGAACTCAGCTAGATGTAATTTGTACTGATTTTTTATGTTAATTAGTGTGTAACGAAGATATTATATTAGTTTGTCTTGAGAGCTAACCTGGTAGACACCCGTGCAGAAATTAGTACTTAAAAGGTGTATATGATGATACATCTGATGGAAAATAACTAGTCAGGATGAGATTTTGGGCTTCATTTGTAGCTGGAAGTTAATACTAGGTCAAATTATATCACTCTTTGGCAACTTCTTGATATAAAGATAAGGTGGGCTTGCATTTCTAAACAAGTTGTGTATTTAAGAAAGAATTGTTGTAAATTGACTTGGATATGTATGATACATAGAGAGAGATCTACTTAGGGTGGTAATACAGGTTTAATTCAGGAAGTAAACTGCCAATTTCTGCATTATTAATGATATAAATAATGAGAAAGTTATCTTGAAAGTCAAATGCATTGGCTTAAGCCATGAATGGTTCATGGAATTTATCTTCTATATTTTGGATAATGCAATAGTCAGCAGAAATGTTTATATGTGATCAAGAGTCTTGAATTATGAGATGAATCTGATACAGCGGGCAGCAACAGTTCAGCTGTCCATGTGGGGGCCAACACCTCTTTTATCACTTATAGGAGAAGAGGCTTTGGGAGGAAACTCTTTGGAAAAGGAGGGGGCTTTTTGGGAAAGATGTAAGGGGCATTTATTAGGGGGGATTTGAGCTGTTTAAGGGAGGAGATTATGGGGCGTTGGGATTTTTATGTTATGTTTTGAATTCTTGCAGCAGTTTTTGTGAGGTTTTGGGTTCCTAGAATCTGCTAGGAATTGTGGGAGAGAGGATTCACCTCTCGAACAATGAATCAACTTGTATCTTATCTTGCTTTGCTTGAAAATTAGTAAAAACAGCTCTCTTTGTGTTATTTCTTGATCTATTTGGAATAAATTGTTGTTTTTTCATATTGTTGTGTGTTGTTTTGATCATCAAGTCCTATTAGAATCTTCATCTGATTAATTTGCATTCTTGTTGTGAGACTACTAAATAGTTTACAGAGTTTGAGTTGTAAAATTTTCAGATAGGATGTGAACAATGTTCAGTTTAATGAATTTCATTTGCATAATAGATTGGGGAGTGCAGGCGACTGTTAGTTGGGTCCTCTCGCAGTGTTTTGGCAGTGAGAATGTGTCCATTGTGGCAGAAGAAGACACTCAAACTTTATCCGGAAAGGATGCTTCTGGTTTACTGGAATCCGTTGTCAAAACTGTAAATGGATGCCTTGTTGAAGCTCACAAATATGGACTGAAAGCTCCTCAGAAGCCACTAGGAAGTAATGAAGTTCTTGAAGCTATAGGCAGATGCAACTCTAATGGTGGCCCTAAAGGAAGGTTTTGGGTTCTTGACCCTGTTGATGGCACACTAGGCTTTGTTCGAGGGGACCAATATGCCATTGCTTTAGCTTTAATAGAGGATGGAGAGGTTGTCCTGGGCATTCTTGGCTGTCCAAATTATCCAATGAAGAAGCAGTGGCTAAATTACCATCAACGATACTACAGACTCATTTCTAAAATATCTCCACCTGTTGCAGGTTCCTGGCATAAAGGATGTGTAATGTATGCTCTTAGGGGTAGTGGTAAGGCTTGGATGCAGCCACTTGTCTATGACCACAACAAATTTGGATTGCACAATATTTCTCCAAAGCCAATCAAAGTATCTTCTGTTGATGATCCAGCTTTTGCAACTTTCTGTGAACCTGTTGAGAAGTCGAACTCAAAGCACTCATTCACTGCTGGATTGGCACAAAGCGTTGGTCTGAGGTATGCTAGTTGCAGGTCTTCTTAAAAAAAACCTTTTTTTAGTCTATTTTCTTGTTTTGAAATCTAGAATAGTAACTTCTCTGCTTGTTTGTGCTATCATATCTAAATGATTGCATGTATTAGCTATTTTTAGTAGGAATCATGCTATTTTATTGCTTTTATATTCTCTCGTTATTGAGAATATTATCTTTTATTGTTCTTCTTTGGCCTATATGTAGACATATGTGCTTATACTATGAAGTTAGTTCCGTAGATATGTTATCTTTTTAATTCTCTGTCGTAATAATTTGAACATAGATATTCGTTGCCCTAGTTTAAAGTGCAAAACGTTAATCAAGTTGCCAACACAAGAAGGAGCAGAACTTTGTTAAAGAATATTGTGGACTGTACATCCTGCTGTCAAAGTTTGACTATCCATCTTTTTTCTTGTTTGTCCTTTTTAAAATTTTATTTTTTTGGGAATGGGTATCTACCTGCTACCATTCCAAAGAAGCGCTTGGCGGCATAACTAATCCCTCGGCAGAATCTAGCGAGGCCACTCACCAACATCGGACTCACACTTACTTTGCCCCACTGAAGAGGCGAGGCCGTAGTAGAGGAGATTCGAACCCGGGATGGGGGTTCTCAACCGTGCTCACCCATCAATCACTTAAGCCTCAGTGGGTTTTTTAAATTTACAATGACACGAAGGTTTACCTACGAAAAGGAAGAGAGGGATGATTCACTTCAGCCCAGCAGCATAATTGTGATCATTTTGGTTTATCCAATTCTCTGTTTCTTAAAGTAGAAATTGTGGTCTTTTTGGATTGTGTTATATTTTTCTGAGATAACATCGTGAATAAATTAGGGTCATTGAGGTTGGAAATGAGTGAATAGGTTGGTTATGAGTGAATAAAAAGCTATTTTATAGTGCTTTTTTGAAATATTGAGCCATTGAAGGTTGAAACAATAGTACAATAATAACCTGGCACAACCCTTCAACAGGAAGCATGTATTCATCACTTCAACTATTAATTGATTTGACTAGACTAGATGATGATGATAATGAAGATCTTGAATCAAATACTAAGCCCATTTTGATGTTTTTCTGTTCCTCATCTTGACAGAAAGCAACCATTGAGAGTCTACAGCATGGTGAAATATGCTGCAATTGCATGCGGAGATGCAGAGATATTCATGAAATTTGCAAAGGCAGGCTACAAAGAGAAGATTTGGGACCATGCTGCAGGTGTGATTCTCATCCATGAGGCCGGTGGTGTCGTCACCGATGCCGGTGGCAAACCATTGGATTTCACTAAAGGTATCTACTTGGAAGGGCTCGATCGGGGCATCGTCGCTTGTTCCGGTTCTCTGCTTCATGACAAGATCATCACAGCTGTGGATGCTAGCTGGGATTCTTCCAAATTATAATTGTATCAACTCATTAGCATAAGCTGTTACAGAATCCACTAATCAACAAACAAAAGGGTTAAAAATCTGGCCTGCAAACTAATATATGCAGGTATTGCAGGAATTCTGGGGAAGATTATGATACTGAACTTGCACTTGGATAAGCTGGAGCTTTATGCAGAAAATGGGGGAAGGAGAATCAGGGAGATAGGTGATAGTAAGCCAATCCAATTTGCTAATATCCCTTATTCAACTTGCTTCATCTCTTTGTTATGGTTATATGCATCAAGCTATGCTAACTGTTAGAAAAGGATTTGGAAGTAGAAATGGAAGCTTTTTATTTTTCTTCTTATACAGAAATGGAAGCAGAAAAGTTATTGTATAGCGATTTTCTGGGTTTTATAGTTCGAGAATTGATGAATTTTGGCTTCTGGTGCAAGTTATATACATATTCAAGTCAATAAATTTAAAACCTTTAGTTTTGGCTAAATCTCCTTATTTCTAATTTCTTTTTTGTTTTATTTACAGCAGATAGTTGCCACAGATTAATTATATGAAAAAAATTGTCTCAATATATACTAAAATTAAATTTTTGGCTGCAATGGATCTCAAAATTTTTAAATTTATTTTGAGATAAGTGAAATGTATGAGATATTTAAACTTTGTTTGGGGCGGATTTCTTATTGCTTCTTAAAGTTTTAATTTTTATATTAAAAATTACTTTAAGAAGTAAAAAAAAAAAGACAAAATGTGCTCCTAAAGTTTGAGATAGAATCAAACTAAGTTCTCATCATTAAAAAAAAAAAAAAAAAGACTATAATTTGTGGGTTCACCTATTTTGGCAGAATTTATTAAATGTTGCTCTGCATGGATCCTGCGACAAGCAGGGAAAAAGGTCAAAACTGATGAGGCTGAATTGTTGAAGTGTTTTTTAGGGCACTTACATAGGAAATATGAGCACCTCAACACCACCAACTTGGGCTTCTCAAAATCTACAAAGAGACTTCACATATCTGAGTACATCCACCTCATTGGCAAAGCTCTCTTGATGCTTGATGGTTAGAAAGCACATGTGATATCTTAGTAGGTAAATTAACATCTCAGACAGCGAGCGAATCGTCATATGCCCCGGAGGATAGATTATTACGAGCTATACTTGGCATTCAGGTATCCACTTCAAAAGAAACTTCTCTAAGACTATCTATAAGGGGAAGGGGTCGAGTTGCTTATGTGAGACGGATCCATAGAAAGTGGGTTTCCAATTAGAATACAGAAAAATTTTAAAGTAGCTGGAAGGCATGAGAATAAGGGTATAATTTCTAAGATTTTGTTGTCTAGACAAGATATGCCCTATTTGCTAGAAAGCTCCAATATCTCAAACTCCTCTCTTTTCTTGTTAATTCATAATGGTGTTTGGCATAACTTTGGCTTAATATCTGCTGCTATTTTTGATGATATAAAAAGACTATACATTCATGTTGATTACGAAAGTGATTCTATTCTGTGGTTGATTGATCTCATTCCTAAATTTAAAGCGTTTATCAAAGCTTACTATTCTAATAAGGCAAAAGCTAAAACTGTTGATATATTGATGTTAATCGGATTTGCTCTCTCTGCTTGCTGGAACCTGAAACCCCAACGACGTTTGAATGTGATTATTCATTTGCTATGATCTGTAATGTTCTTAAGCTGGAGTGGGAAGGAATGAAAGGAGGTTTGGGCCCAAGATCAAATGCAGCAACACTTTTCGTTTGGGACGGTTTTTTTCTTGCTTCTTAAAGTTATTTTCTAATACAAAAATTAAAAAATTTGTACTAAAAAGTTACTTTAAGAAGCAATAAAAAAGCCGTGCCAAACGAAGCCAAATCTCTAAGTCATAAAGAAAGCCTTCTCAACTAAAGTTTGACATTGGGGAGTGTCTTAAGCTGAACTGGTTTTGCATTCCTGGATGATGATGATGATGATGATGATGATGATGATGAATGGATTTGCTCCATCCGCTCTATGCTAGAATCCCATGGTTTGCCATCCTAACAAATCGGAGCTATGGTGTGCTGCTCACAACAATGACGTAAGCACCAAATATAATTTGTTTACAAATCATTATTGTAGATAAATGAGCAAGTTAGTATGTACACTAAGGGCATCTCCAACCGAAAATCTCATTTTTCACTCCAAAATATCATAAAACTAAAATATGCCGTAATTCATCTCAAATCGAACGTCATTTTACCCCGTAACGGTCGTTCAATCATTTCTTTGACAAGTTTGATAAAGACCAAAAAATGGCGAATATGAACAGTGCAACGCCAATATTGGCATCACACTATTCATCCGCGATGAAATGGAGTAAGAATTGATGCACAGTTGGAGCAACAGAAGAATGACAAACAGTTGTTTGCCGGTCCATTGGAGATGCTCTAAGGCTTCATTTGACACCACTTTTTTAATGCTTCTTAAAGTAACTTTCTAGTACATAAATTAAAATTTTTGTACAAAAAAACTGGTTTTAGAAGCAAGAAAAAAACTGTGCCAAACGAAACATAATACGTCATTTGGGATAGCTTTTTTACTGTTTTTTAAAACAATTTTCTAGTACAATAATTTCTAGTTCAAAAATATTTTATACTAGAAACCTATTTAGAGAGCAATAAAAAAGTTGTCTCATATGAAGCCTAATTTTTTTTTTTTCAATGAGTAAATAAATAGAAACTTGTGCGACAACAATGGTGTCAAATTTGCTAAATCAGTTTGAGCCTTAATAGTTAATCAACCTTAATTTAGAGCTTACATTTAATTATACAAGTTCAAGACTATTCACAAATCCATCTAATTTATTTAAAAAATAAAAGATTCAAGAAGTTGTTACAATAAAATAATAAAAAGAATGAGCAATAATAAGAAATGCATTTAATTTTAAAAAAAAGAAGATTTTTAAATAAGCAAGCTCATAAATTAATAAAGGGAATTTTATATACATACCACTTTATTTTATGCTATTTACATATCTAACATCCAAAACATTAATATTACATGCCTACCATCCATTTACAATTTTAATATTGAATATACCACTTTTATAATTCATTTATACCATTCATATTATCCTATAAATTTTTATATTTCATTTAATGCATCCAAATTTATTTTAAGGGTGATAGGCATGTAATATTAATATTTTGAGTGTTAGATATGTAAATAATATAAAATAAAGTGATATACATGTAAAAACCCCATTAATAAATTGAGTTAAGATTGGCTAAAACTTTGCTCATTAGCTCACAAAGCTCAACTGAGCTGTTTATTGAGATGAACCCAAATCAGCCCAAGAGTTGGCTTGCTTAATATGCCAAGTAAAACTTGAAGTAGACAGATCAAGAAAGAGCAAATTAAAAAAAAAAAAAAAAAAAAAAAAAAAAAAAAAAAAAAAAACAAAGAAAAGCTTTTCAATTTTTTTACATAAGAAAGCATTTACAATTAAGTGTAAGAAAAAATTACAGTACAACTACATGAAAATTTTAATTTTGGAATAGTGGGAGCTTTGGCTCACTTATAATAATACAAAAAAGGCATAAAAAACTAACAAATAAAATACAATTAAAACAATAGCTTTTAGTATATAAAAGATGTAATGCAAACAAAAAATAAATAAACATAAAAAAAGGTGGATCAAAAACCTGTAAAGGAGATTGAGAAGTAGGGCGAGGGCTTAGAAAAAGCAAAAAAATGTGAAAAGAGAATCCAGCGCCAACCACAGCAGACTAACCATTAATTTTGTAGCATCTAAATAGGGACTAATTATTCTGTGCGGATGCTGGAACCGTCAAAGAACCATTCATATTTGTTACGCTTTTACTATGATATAGCAAAAGGACATTAAAAGAGCAGCAAATATTTAATATTTATTAAATAATTAAATCTCTGTTGTGCTTTTGCAAAAGGACAACAAAATATAGTAAAAACGCATTTAATTAATATTTATTGTCATTTTACTGCTCTTTTGTAAAAGCACAACAAATACGAACATTTTTCCATCCGGTGTCCGCACAGAATAATTTCTCCTAATGCAACGAAGATTACCGGTTTCCGCCAAAGCTGTGTTAGATTTCATCACCGCCTAAAAACGAAAAAAAGATCACTCTTTGATGAAACTGAAGCTTCCTAGTAACTTCCTTTTCAGTTAGAGCAGCTTCAAGCCACTTAACTGAATCTTGAAACTGAAGAATTTTATTGGTGTCAGCTTCTTAAAGATCGAAGAGGCATTGTGATTTGGCACTAGGTAGACTTTTTTTTTGGGACATTTAGGCCATTTAAGGCAAACTCACACACACAACGCATACACATAGACTCGAACCCTGGAACTCTTAGTTGAAAGTCTAAGCTCTCAACCAATAGGCCAAGGAGAGTTGTGTGCACTAGGTAGACTTAAAAGATCACCTCTCTAAAGTTCTGGATCTCCAAAAAGTAAGCGGATTGCCAATAAACTGCCTGCTTCTCCCCAAGTCATTCAAGATTAATCTGGAGAAGATCAGTGAGCTAACATCCAAAGCTCCCACATTTATTTCATTGCAAAGATAGGATCATAATCAAAGTTGATAAAGGCTTTGTTCAAGTTTTCCCCCAATGCTAGAGTTGAGAGTGTGAGCCTTTGTTTGGGACGGCTTTGTTTTTTCTTCTTGAAACAGCTTTCTAGCACAAAATTTTAATTTTTATACTAAAAAACTGCTTCAAGAAGTAGTAAAAAAGCCGTCCCAAATGAAGCCTGATTCTCCGCGTAAAAAAGGCTTCTGCTTCATTGATTTATTTAATAGAACCTTTCGGCACAAGAGATTCTACGACCTAAGTCTTCATCTTTATAATTTTGTCATCCACCAAGTCCATTTGTTGGATACACTCAGATCAACTTTACAGCAAAAGTTGCAAACACTTCCTTTTGCAGATGCCTTTGCTGGGCCTTTAACAAATAAGTAACCTCCTTCACAGTAGCTGTCGCAGACTTCAGCTCCAACTGTGCTGCTGCATCTGCAAAAAAAAATTCCTAAATGCTATAAATGCTTTATAGTTCGGTAGGCCTAAAAGTTTGTTTTGAACATTAAAACGGGACCTTCTCAGATATAGTTCACCTCATTAAAAAAATATAAAAAGAAATATAAAAAAAATCAAAAAGATGTTAATGAAATCATGAAACTAACAAGACATTAAAATTATATAGATGATCACGTTGTAGTTGTCTAGAATTATAATTTACATGATTTCATTTAATTGCAGAGTTATTTCAATTTATTTTATTGATCCAATTAATATGTCCTACATTTAGTTTTAGCATGTTATGCTGCTATAGCTCTAATACTGATTTAATGTAGGACAATTACGGGTAAAAGGTTTTCTAATGTAACTAATAAGATGCATAATATGAATTCATGCAAAATAATTTGATTAACAGTTTACAAGTCACCAATTAATTTGAGGTCTTATT